TCATGCTTTGACTGTAGTAGCTTCTCACTTGGGTAGACGTCTGTGATACCGATGGAGAAACCGATGTTTGAAAACCAACGCGCGGATAACCTCGACAAGCGATTCATGCCCTCTGCTGCTGCTGGAGGACCGAAATCTCTCAGCATGACATAAAAGACATTGTCCTTCTTTCCGGAACCAATAGTAGCTTTGTCCATCACACCACACATCACCTCCGAATTACGAATCACGAGCCACCCGTCTTTCGGGTCCAAATCTTTCGGGCGGCCATCCTTCGGGGGCTTGTACTCTCTGCATGCAGCATCCAAGTTGACCATCACAGGATCGTCCTTGTTTGGACGCATGAGAATATTGAAAACTTGCTTTCCGGTCCAAAGCATCTGTGGCTTGAGCACTGCGGGTGGAGGAAGGTCGAAGCGAGTTTCCGGGCCAAGCATGTAGAGGCATAACTGCGTGAACGAGCGCCGATCGAAGAAATTATCCTTACTACTCAAGATGTACGCAGCACTGATGAAATCTTGGATGGCGGAAATAATGGGTTCACCGTTCTTAGGCGTCGCCAGGTTGTTTTTCACACCCATCAACTCCATAGCTTCAGCTCTCGCTTCTTCAGTCTGAGGTACGTGCAAATTCATCTCGTCTCCGTCGAAATCGGCATTGTATGGATTACAGACACACTCGTTCAACCGGAAAGTTCTGTGAGGGCGGACCTTGGCGAAGTGGGAAAGAATACTGAGCTTGTGAAGAGAGGGCTGACGGTTGAAAAGCACAATATCACCGTCCTCGATATGGCGCTCGACAACGTCTCCCTCTTGCAGCTGATCGGCAATCATGTTGAGACTACCGTACTTGAGGAAGGTCTTGAAGGTTGAGCCTTTCTTGACAAGGTAGTTCGCTCCTGGCCACTTTTTGGTTCCGTTCCGAACTCTCTGCTGCAGCTTCTCCTTGTTGTACCGTGTGACCACCTCGGGATAAGTCATGTTCTTCGCCACTAGTTCGGGAACAGCGACTTCATCGACTCGCAAATTCGGGTCAGGCGAAATGACAGTTCGACCAGAGAAATCAACACGCTTTCCAGACAAATTACCACGGAATCGTCCCTGCTTTCCTTTCAGTCGTTGCACAAAACCTCGTATAGGCTTTCCCAAGTCTGCCTTGTTCAAGCCAGGAACGTCACTGTTGATATAGACCGCAATCTGAAGCTGCATGTAGTCCCAGCATTCCATGATAGTCTGAACGGGGGCACCCTTGAGTAATGCGTTCTTAAGATTGATGTTACTCTGGACAATGTCACCCAACTTGGCAGTCAGGTCATCCTCGGTGGAGGAAGCGTCCTGGCCTACGGAAGGACGGATACACACAGGGGGTGCAGGGATATACTGCCAGAGAAACATTTCGGGTCTGGCTTCATTCGGGTCCAATCCCAACAGTTCGCAGTCCGTATCGGAAATTCTCTTGAAGAGGTTCAGAACACGCAAGGCATTCATATCATCCTGCGCTTTTTTGTAATGTTTTTCAACTTCCCCATTATGGCTCCTAGCTTCCTCGAACGATCGATCGAAAACAATCTTGCTAGGGGGCGGGATCTTCTTCATAGAGGTAGAGGCATTGAAGGCACGGAATTTATCGTGCGTAATTTTGAGCGCGCTTGTTCCAGCCTTCTTGACTACACCGTTGATGGCACCGCACACATCACAATTCCGAGTCTTACGGCAACGCTCGTTGATGCGCTTCGCTATTTGTAACCTCCTCAAATTATCCAAACCCGGGCGTCGCATTTCACGGAGAAAAGCACGGCGTTCTCCTTCTGGGAGCAAAATGTGCGAACATTCTTTGCAAATCTCCTGCAAGATGGTGATGACACGCTTGAAATACCCTACATGGAACGAGGGCAGGACGAGTTTCACGTGGCCGAAATGACCGTTACAGACTTGAAGGGCACCACCACATGTTTGGCATGATGCGGTTTTGCTCGATACACCCATGCGCGAATCGAGGGGGCCATGGGCAACAACCGACCTATCACGATCGAGGTCAAAGAACTTCCGGTCGGAGACCTCGACTACACCTTGGCTGACAATATCATCGTTGGACCTATATGAGTCACGCGCGAAAGGGTCAGCCATGGTCATCAAACAACCCACAAGCGATCCCCGGCCAGGGTTCTTACAGAACACCAAATTTTAGTTCCTTGATAACTTTAGGAGCACGGTCAATGACCTGGGCCTTGCCCAGGTCGACCTGCACACCTTCCGGAGGCTGCATCACGCCTATCAAGAGCTGAACATGGCAGGGAGGCAATAACTCAAAGAGATGTTTTGTAAAGCGCTGCGGTTAGCGCACAACCGAAAAAGGGGCTTGCCAAGGTATAAGTAGGACAGTAGCACCCCGCTAAACCGTGTGAATGACAGTTGCACAATCCAAAAGGTCAGGGACACGGATGAAAGAGAAACTGCAAGACATCACCGCGGCGGGGTCGGCGACGAAACTTTTCTGCGGCCAAATTGAAAGCTTCCGCAGGCCCCTCCGCTGCACCGTCCAATCAGCATCAATCAATGTTGTGCTACATCGCTTACGTAAACATTCAAATGCTCAAGGTTCCAAAACGGGTAATCATATTAAATAGCTAGGTATCCATTGGACCTCAGGTGCCGGGCTGTAATATCCAAGATACTGTGTATAAATAAAATGGTCTGAAGAGGTATAATACAACGAGTCATAATGTACAGTCTTTCGCGAAGCAGTCTATTTCGACAAGAAATTTTGGAACGCTTTTTGTTCAATCACCACGTTTCCGACAGCCCTGAGCCTCTTCCGGCCTTCTTTCTGTTTCTCCAGGAGCTTCCTTCGTCGACTGACATCGCTTGCATGGAGCTTGGCCAGGACATCTTTCCGATACGGCTTGACAGTCTCTCTTGCAATGACTTTGCGTCCGACAGCAGCTTGGATGACCACCTCAAAGAGCTGTCGGTCGACATGCTGCTTGAATTTTGTCACCCATTTCCTTCCCAGTCGTTCGATTTGACTATAGTGGACGACTCGCGCCACAGCATCCACAGGGGCTTTATTAACCAACAGTTGTAGTTTCACGATGTTGCTTGGCTGCCAAGCAGACTCCTCGTAGTCTAGAGTAGCGTAACCTTTGGTAGATCCTTTGAGCTTTCCGAAGAAATCGTCGACCAACTGTGCCAGAGGCAGTTCATACTTGAGAATTACTTGAGTCGACGTAAAGTACTCAAGGCTTTTCTGCACGCCTCGGTTCGCTTCACACAGCTCGATCGCCTTTCCAAGGTACTCATCGGGGAAAGTTAGGGTGGCAAGCACGTAAGGCTCATGGATCTCCGCTACCTTAGATCGCAGATCATCCTCCTCGGGAAAGCGAGCAGGGCTCGTAACAATCTCTTCGCTGCCATCTTTCCATATTACCTTTACCGGCACGGAAGGAGGCGTGATGATGATGCTGGCACCGTGCTCCTGGCGCAAACGATCCTCGAAAACGGAACAGTGGAGAGTCCCAAGGAATCCCAGTCTGAAACCTGCACCTAAAGCTTCGGAAGATTCCTTTTGCACTGTTATGCTTCTGTCATTGAGCATAAGCTGGTTGATGCTATCCTCCAGGTGCTCGAAATGGTCCGCATCCACGGGATAGGCAGCGACGAAAACCATAGACTTGGGTTCTTCGAAACCAGGCAGAGGCTCCACAGCTTTCTCAGAACCAACTTTGGTATATGTATCGCCAACCTTAGCTTCCTGGCTCCGTTTCATACCGGGGTTGAAGAAGATATAACCGACTTGGCCAGCTCGCAGAACGGTCTGTGAGGTCTCGGTGGGGTACATGATGCCAACTTCACCGACATAATACTTAATGCCCGTTGCGAACGAGACAAGCTGGTCTCCTGCCCGGACTTCGCCATCGAAGACTCGAACTAAACAGATAACACCCTTGTAGGAATCATACCAGGAGTCGACGAGTAACATTCGTAAGGGCTTCTGAGCATCACCGACAGGCCTATTGTACAATCAGCACTGAGTTACTGTAGTGGTTAAATATGGTATACATACGCAGGGATCTTCTCCACCACAGTAGGAAGCAATTTTTCAACATTCAGGCCCGTTTTAGCAGAAACCATCACCGCATTTTCTGTGTCCAGTTCAAACGACGTTTTCATCTGTTGGAGAGCCTTCTCCGGTTCGGCCGATGGCAAGTCTACTTTGTTGATGACGGGGATCAACTCTAAGCCCTGCGCGAAAGCGAGATAGAAGTTTGCGACAGTCTGTGCCTGGATACCCTGGCTGGCATCCACCAGAAGCAATGCTCCTCCGCAACTGGCATAACTGCGCGAAACCTCTGCACGAAAATCCACATGTCCTGGTGTATCAACAAGATGCAACAGATAATCCTCTCCGTTATGGTTATATATCATCGTACATGTTTGTGCCTTCACAGTGATACCTCGTTCCCGTTCGACATCGAGTTTGTCTAACACTTGTTTGTTCGATCCCGGCTGGATGGTGCCCGTGAGTTCGAGTAGCCGGTCGGAGAGGGTACTCTTCCCATGGTCAACGTGCGCGACGATACAGAAGTTACGGTATCGGTCGATCGGGATCTGCGCGATTCTGGTTTCAAGATCGGAGGCGGGTTTGCTAGCCGCTGCTCTAGCTCGCGATGCCAGCTGGGCCGAAGTAGTGAAAGACCGGATGGTATTATAGAGGCCGGATGGCGCCTTGGGAAGGCTTGCCGCCGGGCATTTCGGCCCTGCGCTCAGCCATCTGGCTAACTGCAGGCATCCTCGCATTGGGAGGTCTGCAATGGCATGGGAATTGTCTCTTGTCGAATTAAATGTCTCGCACGCTGACAGTGGGAATTAATTGGAAGTGCTAGTTTTGCGGGCAAAAAAAGTGCGGCTCTGCGGAGAAGACGATTGGCAGGCGGTCGATTTCGACGTATCGAATTAAATTAATTGCTGCGGCGACTATCGGAGTAAACAAACGCTCTCTCTCTTTTTCCACCACTTCTCTCGCCAGGAACAACGACGCCTTCAACTCACGCATCTATCCATTACCGTCAAATTTATTCACCATGTCAGCCACGAAAGACAAGTCTAAGGTTCACAAATTGTCCCTGAAAGGTGAGGATCAAACACGAGCAGTTTATAAGGGAGATCAGGAGCTCATCCCTACGTAGGGTCGTCCAAGCTCGTGGCAGAATTCGTAAGGCTCCCACCTATTGTTCGTCATCCAGACATACTAATTTTATTAGTTTGAATATTCTATCAACTCTATCCTGTAAGCCCGCGCTTTAGGTGAATCATATAGGGCCATTTCCACTGACCCTGATCTCCAGGTTCCAACGAGGCGTATATCCTCCAGAAGACTTCACAACGTAAGTTTCTGGATAATCAGTGATTGACTATTTGTGTCTAACTCATTACAGTGTTAAGAAATATGGCCTCAACATGCTTAGTTAGTTGGCCCGACGTTTCTTATTCTTCGCATCCGCTGACGGACCCAGTTACTTCCGACGACCAGGTCAAGGCCTACATCAAGAAGATCATGTCGCAGTTGAATAAGTGGATGATGGGAGGCAAGATCTCCAAACTTGTTGTAGTCATCACAGACAAGGAAACTGGGGAGCACGTGGAGAGATGGCAATTCGATGTAAGAGACTCTCCCATGTGGTGGGTACAGATTTCGGGGGCTAACGGGAGATTGTAGGTCGAAATATTCGGGAAACGCAGCAAGAGTACAAAGTCCCAGGCTTCTGGTGACAAAGAAAACGCTGGCCCAGAGTATGCCATTCTGATCCTTAGCATACATACATCCGCTAATTTCTTGTAGGAACGCCGACCCTCAAGCTCCGGTTGAGAAAACAGAAAAAGAAATTCAAGAAGAAATTCAGGCAATTTTCCGCCAGATTACCGCTTCGGTCACCTTCCTCCCTGTCCTCGACGGAGACTGCACATTTAACGTCCTCGTGTACGCCGACGCCGACTCAGAGGTCCCAGTCGAATGGGGTGATAGTGACGCCAAGGAGATCAAGAACGCAGAGAAGGTCCAGCTCAGGAGTTTCAGCACGAACAACCATCGTGTAGAGACATTGGTCAGCTATCGTCTTGCTGACTAGACTACCCTACTATCGATTGCGGTGTTTTCGGAAGGCGTTCAGGATGGAAGACGATAGGCTCAATTCTGCATATTTCGGTGCTACTTGTGTTTCGTGTTTTATCATCGGCAGCATATCAGTAACGACTAATGAATATGCATCACTAACATGGTTCCAAAACATCTATGAAATCGCACGATATCTAAACTATCACGTTATAAATACCCTGATCCCATAGTATCCCGCCAATACTAATACCAAGGCAACTCCCCCATCCTCGAAAACCACTCATTCCCGCCCATACCCCCATTCCACCTCACCAGCTCCTCAACTACTTCTTCCAATCCCACATTAACAAAAAGACCCTCCTCCATACCTTCCACCCACCCCCTCTTAACTCTCTTCTCCTTCAACTCCCCCAAAACCCCATACCGATCCCTCATCCACAACCCAATCCCCCTCTTCTCCTCCCCCTCAATCAAAGAAGCCTCAGACGTCACCTCCTCGGGCGGATTAATACCGACAACAGCGACTCTACCCTCGTCTCCAGACCCCGGCACAATCGGAACCAACCCAATCGCAGGAAAATGATACTCCATGAACCGTCTCCGCTTGAACTCGTGCGTCATGACCGTCACCCGCGACGGGTAGACACCCGTATAGAATTTAAACCGGAGTAGAGAGAATAGTACATTCTGGTAGGAATCGGTAGCATGTGTTTCGGGTATGATTTGGGCGGGCGGGATGGCGTAGGAGAAGTAGTTGTTTTCTTGGGCGAGGGTCTGTGGGTTAAGTTTAGATATTGTGTCTCCTGCCTTTTTTTTTTTTTTTTTTTGTATCTTGGGGAGGTTGCGTACCAGGTAAGATTCTCCTTCTGTTAAACTCGTACGATCTTTCTTTGTTGCGCCTCTGATGTCGTAAATCGTTAGTGGTGTTCTACACCTCAACCCGAACAATGTATATACAATCCGGGCAACACAAGCAGTTGAAAAGAGAGTAAGGATATATATACCCCGAAAAAACAAGCAATGCAGCTGGATCATTTGCCAACGCTTCTAGACCAGCTTTTACGTGAGCTGTAAATGTAGGCGTTTCTCCCTTTTGAAAGGGTTCTATGAGCCTATTGTGTTTTTGTTGTTAGGTATGTCTATAAGTTGTTGTATGTATATATACACTTGTACTCGGAAGTAATAGGTGGGTATGGGGCACAGCGACAGCATAAAATCAATTACCCTTTGCAGTACGAGATAGAAAGCCGTAGAGTAGAGACTTACCATTCATCCTCAGAGATGCCGTGTGTTGGTCCACCAAGGTATATGGCATGACAGCAGACGATGATGAGATGGTTGCAGTGGGATGGTATACTATGCATAATTGCTTGTATCTGAGCGTAAGTGTATTGTTATGGGATAAATGTTTTGGTTGAATTAGGCTTGGGGTTTATTTTACAAGCATCCAATGGAAGCCCCGAGACTTACCTGGATTAACCCTTATCCGACTCCAATCCATCCCCAATACAGCCGAATACTATAAATACCCAGCCCCATAGATATCTACTAAAGCCCTATGGATTTAAGATTTAAATCTATACCCAACCCACATATTAAGACTATCAATGGGAAACTTGCCAAAAAACAATCGGGTCCAACCCGCGGGTTTTGGCAATGTCTAGATGTGGGTTAGCCTATTAAAAGCCTGGCCTGGCGCTGGGTTGGGGGAGGAGAGGAGGGTATGAAATCTTAAACCCCAAACCCAACCCACGGACCACACTCTATTGTCATTCAAAAACAACCCATCCTTTGTGACGAACAAAGTCATTGTTGGTAACCTTGTCTGCTCAGACTGAGGAGGGCGTTGAAGTTCACCCCTGGCTGATTCGGCATCCAATCCGTAGCAAGCAAATAGTACCAAAGCTATTGCCCTGCTGGTTTTTTACCCAACATGGGGTACATTTGTAGCCCAAGTCGAGGAGAACGCTTCAGGGGAGAGAAAGTACAGAGACCGAATTCCCTCAACAACAATGAAAGTTCGACATACAACAATGATCGCTATGCCAATCAGCGCCAAAGTGAAATACCATGGTTTGGTGATATCTGTTGCACGGTCGCCATGATTTGCCATCAACCATATCATATTGAGAGCCATTGGCAACAGAGCAGTGAGAAACGAAGAGATTCTCCATATAAGTTTCTCAACGTCTGTCGGAAATGGGAAGTTCCACGCAAATAAATGAACACAGCCAAAAACAAGAGCGCCAAGACTAATACCCAAGTAAATATAGTTCTGTGTTTTGCGGCTGACTTTCACAATGTCGTCGTTCCGTGGATCAGCAACAAATGGAAAAGAATTATATGGGATGCAAGGGAGTTGGACATCAAGGAACGGGAGGAAGTGCAAGGGCCCGACCTCAAGAATACACTTAAGTCGAGTGATCGTGCAGTCGAGTATACGCGCAGGAATCTCAACTGGTGTATTTGCATTCTGCGGTTGGTGGAAAAGCATACTATAGGTAATGCAAGCACAGACTGCGTAGGCTACAGTCATGATTTCCAGTTGAGACGCTGATTTATTGAGCGCGAATCGCAGTATCAATTGGACAATCAGCCAAATAATCTGAATCACGGCAAGGGCTTTGATAAGGACATCACCCTTGCTTTTGTCATTGATCTCGCGGCATGTAACATTTGGTAATTTTTCAATAATACGATAATGGCGAGCCATCAGAAGCTGAGGTGCATTCAAAACCCACACGTTACCTTCGATTGCGAGAAGATTATAATGCTCGATAGACGATGAGTTGTATACACTTGCTCCGCGAACCATACCGCCGAACTGAGAAAGTATTTCGTTACTCATGGCTGTATGTTGGCTGTGGGGTTCCCACATCATTTCTCCCAACAAACGAGTAAGTATATGGATCCTCTGGCGATATCGCTTCCGAATGCTGCCGAAGCCGCTGAGGTTCGGTTCTTCTCCAGTCTCGTCGGTTGGTACAGGAAGACGGATACCCCGGCCAGACGCTCTATTATCACCCAATATGCTTCTTCCTGCATTACTAGGCAGTGATATTTTAGGTTCCTCTGTCCCTCGTGATGGATGACTAGATTGAAGGTCAGGGCTGGGCATGATGCTGGTCTCTGGGTCATGTTTCTTGGGCGTGTCATCCGGGGGGAAACAAATGTGAAATCCCCCCATGTTGGCGAAGAATGTATGTGAAAGACTCCAATCAACAGCATCTATTTTTGCGAATTGTTCCAAGGGCACTTGGAGCGCCTTGGCAGAGATCAAGTCCAGCATTGCCTTGGTCATGATCATCTCTGGAGCCACCAAGATAGTAATCACCCACTTCAGCTTTTGCAAAGAGAGGAATATCTCTCGTCCAGCACTCTGCCAGCGTTTCTGTGTGGGCTTGAACTGAGGGGGCATATTTGGATGAAAGATGGACCAGCAGCAGAGAATAAGAATCGAGCCACAGCTCCAAACTATGTCCAGGGTTCCCCGGACATCAGGAGCTGCCACAAACGTACCAGCAGTAGGAGGGAGCGTGCAGTTCGGATAGAAGTGAATCATTCTGGAAGGCGCCCGCAAGTACGTGGTTTGGTATGGCATGAACAAAGAGGGACGTCGAGCACATTTGAACCACTAGGAATTATATTAAATATTTGCGCTCCACCCTTAGGAAACTCATCACAAAGTCTAATAGATGGGTATAGACTAACATGGAAGATCATTGTTCAATATTAATTAGTTGCACATCACATACATTGGCACTCTTGCTATGATTCGTTGACGGTTCCTCCATGCATCCTCCCAGCTGGCAAACAATACGGACATCTTGTCGCGCTGTGGCTAGCTGAAATTCGAGAAAAAAGAAAAAAAGAAAAAAAAGGTTAGGTAAGGCCAGATGCTGTAGTTCTAACAGATTTGTTTTGAGCGAGTGGGGCAAGAGGCTGTCGCTTAGAATTACGTGTATGGGGACGACTGGTCGAAATGACCTGTCTCAACATTTATTTGATATGACTGGATCCACGTCGCCGTGCCTGGATCGCTGTTTACCCAGTAAGGAATGGCATTTGTCCAATATGAATTATTATCCTGCAGCGTGTTCCGGAGAGATCATCCTGCTATCTGTATCAAGGCATACATATGTTCCATACACAAAATTTCCACCAGAGCCTTCGGTGTGAGCAGTCTGGGTGACCGGGCGCTTACCAGTTAAGTTGAACTAGGCTTCAGTGAATTTGAAATATTGTCTCTATTTTTATATCTGTTATGGTCTCTGGGATTAGTTTTAACTTTTGTCCTCTCTGTGTGGTTGGTTTAGAAACTGCTGTGTGGAGATTAGCAAACTTATAGCTTGGAAAGGGAAGGAAATATATCTATCGGTAGATAGCCGCTACTGTGTCGCCTTCTAATATTGAATAACAAAGAAAGTCTGTTGTCTGGTAGGATCTTGGTATATATTATTATTGAAGCTGTACTCTGTAAGATTGGTCAGTTGGAGAGGTTAGGCAGCGGCACGTCTGCGGCAAGTCTTGTAGACTGTAGCTCTCGAGGATATTAAGAGTAAGAAGAGTTTCCTTATAGAGAGAATTTAGCCAATGTGAAAGACTTTCAGACTGAAGGCTTTGAGCTTTACCTATAGTACTATATCTTCCCCATATTTCTACAACTATCCTTGACATATAATTGTATCTCTTGAGTCTTCAGCTATAATTCAGTAAACAAGTGATAGTTTAACGAATTAAAAATCAGTCCTTCTATCTCATAGACTCTACTACTTGCCTTTGATATTCTTTGCCTACATATCCCTACCTAGTTAACAAGTCTTCTACCCTGAATTGTAGAAATTTCTCACAATCTAGAAAACTCTAAGGAATTGATGTCACATTTCACAAGACAAGAATAAATCAAAGCAGCGTTTCTATACATACCGGCAGTGAGAGAAAAAGTCATTCAATGCAAGTGTAACTATTCAATCGGCTATAAAGAACACTGCAGGTTGAATCGTTCGCAAGACTTGACGGGTGCCTAGTCTGCCTAATCAACCCCCTTGCTGCCTTAGGAATCCGGGGAAGCCCTAATACAGACAATGCTTATCTTATAAACCCCAGATTCTTCAAATAAACCTAATGGCCTTCACTTATATTCTCCATAGAGTCACAAATTTGCTTCTTGTGGTTGATCATGAATGTCCCAAACCCAGACAAGGTTATCGCCGTCTTTCGGATTCCTGAGTGTGCAGAGAGTATATTTAAGCATCTCACGCGGTATTCTCTCAAGTGTCTCCGCTTGACGTGTAAAGACTTTGATGACTTGGTTGTTTCACCTCTCTGCCATCTTTTCAGCCGTGTATATATCTCATTCAATAGAATGGACATATGGGTACTGGGTTGTATGTCCCAGCATACTCGAATTGCGCCATGTGTGGAAGAATTGGTATGGGACGTCTCCATGGAAATAAAGAGACGTCCCGCAATTGGCGCTCGTCACTCCAAGAATCCTTACGACATCAGCCGCATCATTCGAGACTATAACATAGGTTGGGAAGAGGGAATAGATCTAGGAGCTCTGTACCAGACACTCCCCCTGTTCCCGCGACTGAAACATGTCACCATCACCGAGCTGATGTCAAGATGGATGACGATACCCCATAGGTGCCGGTCAGCCACCCATCAACTACCACCAACGAGACTACATGGCTCATGCTTTGAATCTCCTGCTATGCGCCAATGGCGGATGCTACAGATGGGTCCGGTAGAGGAAAATGCTTACAATTATCTTGATTACTGTTCCAGGTCTCGTATACAAGATCCAGAAGCAGAAGCCAACCTAGTTGCGTTTCTCCAAGACATTCGACACAAAAGTAATCGCGCTCATGCCATATTTCTGAACTACGGCTGTCGTTCGGATATACAACTACAATCCTACTGTATCGATGCACCGCCACCTCCCACATCATCCCGTCGACCATTCAACGGGATTGACCTCCGAGCATACTTGGACAGTGAGGAACAGAAAGAAATGTTTTTGCCGCACCTCCGCTCCCTCAGAAAACTATCGCTGTCATTCGATAATACAAATGATAGTAGCCAGCTACATGATTGGCATGAAGGATTTTATACCCGGCGTCTTGAGATGCTCGAACTACGGGTCTACAAGGAAGAACATTTTCTCTCATCTATGCTCTGGGCATCATTTCCATGCCTTCGAAAGTTAGCTCTGAGCAACTTTGCACTGGAAGATCGTCGTCTCGAAGACAAACTACTCCCCTGGTGTTTTGAAACCAAGCTACATACCCTTGACTTAGATGTAACGTTCGTGACAACGCGCAGATTAACTGGACGGAACATTATGAACTGGTTGATCTCTAAGGATATCAACCGCTGCAAGCATCGTTCCAGTGATAGTGATAGTGTCAACTCGTCCAGCCGGGAGAGAATACAAGAGGGTGTTGTTCCCGACAACCTTTCAGGAAATGATGAAACCAGAGCCTCTGGCAAGATTGATAATACTGAGCCAACAATTTCGTTCACGGAATTAGAGGGTGAATCGTTTAATCTGACGCTCTCTGGAGATACCTGGGGATGGGGTGACGAGCTACTTCATGTGAATATTCATCTCTTTAGATGGACTGAGGCAGTATGATGACAGCGAGAGTTTGGTTTAGGGGGCGAGCCAGAGAGGCTTGATTAATGGCTTCCACTGATCACACTATACACTATAACATCTATGGCAAGTTATTTTCGACAGTTATAAAAAAAAGCTATATCTTGTCTCGGTACGAGTCTTTGAGCGCCGTTCGGTGAGAATAGGCAAGGGTAATGAAATACATCCTGCAGCCTTTGGTCTATATTTCCTTGAAAGTACCACTTATCATCATCATAGAAATACTTGAGTATATTAAAAAACAATTAGGATTAAGTAATGATTAATCTTTATTAAGATTTTACCGTGAAAAAGGATGGGGGTACTATTAAAAGAATAAAATAGAAAGTTAAGATAATGAACTCTTTCCAAAGTATTTTGTTACAAATATTTACTATTCGGGGTAGAAGACCTGTCAAGTAGGTAAAGATACGTAGACAAGAAACATCAAAGGCAGGCAGACTGACAGGAAGTTAGATTAGTGGCTAGAAGTTAAGAGTTGGGTCCTGTTCTTAGATAGGCCTACAGAGGTCAATGTAATACAATTGTTCCAGTAAATGAGCCCCATTTAGAGCTCAAGATTATCAGACCGGGTTACCTAGCTAGCGAATGTGAAGTCAAAAGTAGATATTTGGAGAAGATTGTATTGATAGGATTAAGTGAGTAGATAATTACCTTTAGTGATAGAGGTGAACAAAGCGAGAGAAATTCTATATACTGGAAAAAAGAAGACATATTAACAGCATGAAGTTGCCTCGTAGTTAGAACCCGCCGCCACTTTCTGCGCGGCGAATCCCTTTTGATGTATTATATCAATGGGGTGCGATATATGCACAGCCTCACTGTCTTTCCAATGTGGCTCGAAACGCTGCAGGAGTCACCGCCGCAGCCCGTCCGTCCTTGTCGATGTCAAACACAAGCAGTGACAGGCTCTGGCCACCGTAGATTGTAGTATCGAGTAGATACAGGTCGTTGACATCATACAGTCGCGATACGAGTCTTTGTGGTGATCCAACTGCTGTTTCCGTCGTTGGGGTGTATGGGCGGAACGCCACCTTTCCAGTGGCCCCAGCATCAGAAATGGTAGGCACTAGTCTCGTGTCCTTGCCACCGAGAATTGATGCCAAGTATGGCATGATATCGGTGCCGTTGCTGATCCAGGAGGTGACTACCAGACCGGGTGAGGGGCGCGTCGGCGGACTCAACGCCAAAGTCAAAGATGAGTTGAGTCCGGGATCGGAGGAATGGTACGTTCCAACATAGTTGCGCTGGGCTTCCAGAGCGGCTTGATCCATCAAGGCTGGAAGAACGGCGTCAATGACCAAGTCCATCAGGTATGTAGCCGATGCAGACCGGGTAGTAAGGGAACTTCCGTCAAGGACGCTGAATCCCGCGTCAAAGTCTGGGAAGAATGCCAGAAGGCCCCCATAGTTGCCTGAGTCGCCCATCTTAGTGTAGATATCCGTGACAATTCCCGAGGCCGGATGGACGTAGCGGTAGATCTCCCAGGGTTTCCCCACCGAGTATTGCAGATCTGCGGTATGGGTACCGGGCTTCATCCACTTGCGAGTCTGATCCGCCGGAAGGAGTGTGGAATTCAGAATGGCCACGCCAAGCTTTGCGAGATCGTTGGTAGTCGATAACAACCCACCGGAGGCTTTAGTAACGCCGGCATCGATCGCAAATCCTTCGATAGGTCCTGCAACGACCGAGCGCGCACGGTTCGGGTCATTCTCGGCCGGAGGGTCACTGAGAGAAGAGGTCATCCCCAGAGGCTCGAAGATGCTCTCCCGATAGACTTGATCGATGGACTTGCCGGTGAGGTTCGCAATTGCCATGCCTAGTAAAATATATCCATTGTTGGCATATTGTGGGCTTCCCCAGGGGAGGAAGACGGGGAAATCATTAGCCTCCGCTTCCGCATAAGGGACCTCAGCACAGAAAGGTCGGTTACTCCCCCAGCAAGCTTGCCAGAGGGAGAGGTCACTTTCGTTTAGAGGGGGGAGACCTAAAAAGGTGGGATCCGTTTCGGCCGGGTCAGTTGCGTTCAATGCTCTGGCGATAACGTAGCTGGCTAGTAAGTCCGAATTTCCCCCACGGGGGATGCCTCCCATCTGTGACGCGATTGCGTTGAGGGTGATTTTATCCCACTGAGTGTCATACACGGGTTGAAAGTCAGTGGACTTCTCGTGGACGAATTCCGCCATCTCGGGGAAGATGTCGGTGAGTGGCCGGTCCCAGTCTCTGCTGTCGAGTTCTAAGAGCCCCGCAAGGACTGTAATAAGCTTCGAGACACTAGCCATCCGATAGATGCTATCTCCATCTACTTTGTTTATTCCCACTGAGGAATTCGCGACTTCGGCGCTAGTGTGGTGAATTTGGAGATGCTGCTGGGCTACGGGGTCGTGGGTCGAGAACATGCCAACGGAGAAAGTCAAATCTTTCAATTGGGATATTTCGCTGTTCTCACTTGCATTGCGACGACTAAGACTCGCTTTCAGGGTTGAGTCTAGCTTCTTCCAGCTGGCGGCGACGCGGCTGGAATCGCTGGTGAGGTCTCGAGGGGCCGGGTAGCTTGGACCCAGAAATTGGGCCAATACCCCAGAAGTGCAGAGAGGAGCGAGGGGAAGAGCATAATGTAGTAGACGCATAATGATCTCCAATATGTGGGTGTTGGTCCCGATCAAGTTGAAATTGTTCGGCCTAGATGCATAACCTATCTGATAGCCCTCTTCTTATAGCTAGAGATGAATGAGTCTCATATCTACATGACGTATGCAGACTGCCAGCATTGCCTCGTTATCGGAGGAGCTTAAATGTTGCATTGTCGGATTGCCTTTCCTACAGTTCTCGGCAGTAGGGCTGTGCGCCGACGATACAATGCAGATCTTTGGGAGGAAATGAGCAGGAGTTCTCCTGATTGGTGCCCGGTGGCCTGCTGAAAAGGGAACGGTATTAGTCTCACGTGTAGCGTTAGTCCCAAAGCAGATGGATGTGTCGCTTGGCGGGTTGCCTTACCAACTTGAGGCATCGACACTAACCTGTCTTGGCCCAACGCAGCGCTCTTGTTTTTGCTTGCATCATTTGTTGAACCTGGATTGGTGAACCTGATGAACGTGGCTGTGAGGACCGCCAGCTCATATCACCTTACCCTTGGTGAAGATCTTGCGTAAGCCCGTCCGTGCGACCAAGCCTTGGTATTGACATGTTAGAATCCAATCTGGTCCGGGGTGTATTGTGCCCCTAACGAGGCTTTTTTTCCGTTCAGAACTAGTAGTAACATTCAGAGGCCCCTGGGGAAGTTGAATGGTGTTCGATGATCAAGAGTACCCGGGTGATGGTGGATGCACAAGACTAGATTAAGGGAGAATGAAAAGGAATGGTATCTCTTACGGTTCGCAAATGGCTGTCTTTTCTGCTGTATTGGTCTACTCGTAGTATTTGCCAACTATTGCTCCCGATATGAATTGAAGCCCTCCACATCCTCTAGTCTTCAATATTAGTACATTCCATTTGGTTGTTCGTTCTCCTCGTCTGATGATTCTTTGTCCGATTCACTCTCTGAACTAGAGGATCCCTCCTCCTTCTCTTCGTCGGTCTCGTCCTTGCTCTCCTTTGCTTTCTTGTCTTTCCTACCCTTCTTGCCCTTCTTCCCCTTCTTATCCTTCTTAGCCTTGTCCTTTGTGCTATCATTGTCGGCCTCCTGCGACTCTCTTTCGGCATCCTTCTTTTTCTTCTCTTCCAGTGTCTTCTCTCCCCAGGATTCTACATGTGCGATGGCATCCAATGGGGAGCTTTTGTGGCACAGCAGATAGCCTTGGATCTCGGCCGGCGAGAACGTGAGCTCGGGAATCTTCTCGGCAAAGGTGGCCGCCAGCTGCTCCATATCCACATCCGGACTTTCAGGACGGCTCAGGGCGTGGTCGGGGGCTGGGAGCAGAGGGACCTTTTCGGCAGTCGAAGTTAGCAGCAGCGCGTCAGTCTCGCTGTCCTCCAGGTGAGAGTCAATGCTCGGAAGGACGTCTCGAAACAGGTTCTGAAACATCTGCATCATCAGGTTGCGATTGGCCAGCTTGAACTCGATCTGGTAATCCACCCGACCCGGCCGAATGAGGGCTGGATCCAGATTCTCTTGGTGATTGGTGGTCATGACGAGCACGCGGCCTTCCTGCGCTGCGACGCCATCGATCGTATTGAGCAAGGCCGAGAGCGAGATCTTGTTGTTCCCCTTTCGCTTCTTTTTCGACTCATCACTGCGTCGACTAGTCACTTCGTTCGTGTCGATGTCTTCCAGGAGCACTAGACATCGGCGGGGCAACTCTTGGAAGAGCTGTGCCAACGCGTCTTCGGTGAGCTGCGTGGCATTCAGGTCCAGGATATACACGTTCAATCCGAGAAACCCTGCCGCCGCGAAGGCGAGACTCGACTTGCCCGTGCCGGGTGGGCCATAAAACAGATACCCTCGGCGGTATGGGATGCCCCGATCGCTGTACCATCGCATCGTGCTGGGGTGGAGATACTGCTGAACGTCTTGGATAAAAGCGATCTTCTCTTCGTGGTCCAGGATGACGGTGGACAATGGCCTGGCGGGACGCGCTGTCGAACGGGCCCAGTAGAAGTCATTGTCATAGGATCTCTTCGCGCCGCGATAAATCACCGTCTTGCCCTTTTCTTTCTGTGAGTATTCTACGCGAGCTTCCAGCAGCAACTGCTTCAAAATGGACGCATCCCATCCGAGACATGAGATGCGGAGTTTATCGGTGCGCGTGTAGAGCATGGTCCCGCGTTCCTCAATCTGCCGCGTGAGTGCCAGGCATCGACCGCCATACCTGAAATAGTGGATGCCTTCGGAGGGCGACCACAGCAGTTGCCGTGTATTCGACAACGATGCCTTCCATTCGGTGTCGGTGGAGGTTTCCGCATCCAGCATGTCGTCAAACTCACCATCGTCGGAGTCGTCACTGAAGTAATCCAGGCCACTACTGAGGGAGGTGCTCGCGATGAGGCGATTCTTGCTTTCATTAAACCGTTGCTTCGTTAACCAAAACAGGAGATAGTTGTAGGCATCGTCGTGCGATTGTACTTCGACGGTCGAATACAAGAAATGGAGCGGTAAGCTGCCCACCTGGTCCAGAAGGCTTTTCGCAAGATAAGAACCGACGGCAAAATATGAGAAGTAGAAGAACTTCCCGAACGATGACGAAGGCTCCATGGTGGGAAAGACGAGGGGCGGGGAGAATTTCCCACGGCCACCCACGGCGTGTAGCGGCTGACAAAGTGGGTTGTTGGTACAAGAACCCGATGAGGAGAGTGGTGACAATGAAGTCGTATTAATACATGTTCAGCCTCATCGGCCGCCTCAGGCTAACCTGAGTCATTTGTGAGGCTGAGGTTTGGCTGCCTAGCCTCACATGACTTTTGTGTTACTTTTTTTTTTAGAAAAAAAAATCAAGTCTCAATTCTTGCGTTGTAAAGGGCAATTCGGAGTATGTCATTGGAAGTTGCAGTGTCGATCTCACCAGTTCAGGTGTCCGACTGTCTCTTTACTTAAGTAGTAATGATAGTATAATAGTGTTAAAAAGTACTGGACGGGACTGAATCTGGCCCGGCCGAGACGGAGCCATGTGAACAGTCAGGCCCAAATAGTGCTTTCATTGCACGGAGGTTAGCCCGATAAGGCTATAAGCAATAAGGGCGACCCACAAAAGTTACAGTCTAGTCTTTGTTCCTTTGTGTCTTTTTACTTTGCTGCCTACGATATATTCCTGTGACGTCATTCAACCCTAGATATCCCGCGGCTTGGTCTAATAACTGTAGTGAGGCTACTCGTGTGTGTGAGGCTGACGTGGGAAGGATGGAACTCGATAGCTAGTTATTTAATTAAGCTTATCTAAGTGGAAAGTAAAATCGAGGACATTTAATCCGCCACAGAGCAACGTGAAAGTACTACTACTACTTCATTTGTTGGAGCCACGATAGGGTTTAGGGCTGGTCGATATTAAAGATAATAGCAAAGCTTATCTATCAATTGGCCAAGAAATACACGATCATCAAACGAACTTATCAAACGACTATGTCAGTAAGGAGTCCGAGAATGCTGACAGACAGGCTGGCAGAAATGCAACTTTGGACTCTGTTCCCTTTGACTGAAAGCTCTGGGTTGGACTGACTCCCTTGGGAGATACAAGAGAATGAGAGTGAGAGAAGTAGATAAAAAGATAGAGCAAAAATAAAATACAATAAAATAAACTAAAATAAAGAAAAATAAAGTATCCTGAGCCTCGGCCACTAGTCGAGTGATATTGATTTGATATTTGCATATGCACAGTTTGTCATTTACATTCCTCTGTAATCGAGAAAAGCGTATTGACGCCTAAAAATTGTGGATTAAACAATGTCAATCAAGGGGGAAGAAAGCCATTTGGGAATGATGTTCTTTTTGCCTTGAGGGTAGTAATATAATGCACAATTCTGTTGGCTCGAATCTCTCGGAGCATAAGTAGGGTTTTAAACCATAACCGAAACTGAGGAGAAGCGCACCAACCACGGAGCGAACTTGTGTGCGTACCAGAAACAACAAGCATCAAGGATTGATTACTAGGAGATCATCCAGCTCGAATTCTACCTCTTTCCCTTGGGACTCCAGTTCCAGATATCCGGGCGCACTCTGCTCGATGATGCGGACCCACATGTCCTGAGATCCATAACCCGGGTAGAGGAACTTGTTGGCTCGTCTGGTTGACTCTAAGAGCTCGAGGATGGGAAGGTCCATATCCAATCTTTATTTCTCGTTAGAAGAAGGGGGGGAAACCAGCCAGGATTTCTGGGGAAAGAGAGAGAACGTACGGTTCATTATACTGCGGTGGGCCGCCGATGCCCGACTCGGCAATTTCGCTGAGATACTTACCCAGCATCTGCTCAAAGGACATGGCTTGGCCCATGTTCCAGGGTCGACGGAGGGTGGAGACACAGGCTTGGCCGTTGGAGCCAAACTCGACCAGAGTGAGGCGCCCCGTAACCAGCCCCGGCGCATCGATCACGAACCATGTGAGGTCCGGCCCGTCAGCGAACACCACTGTGCCATCCCGGGTCATGGAGAGGGCGTGAAAATCGGCCGAGGCGAGGTACAGCGCGGGAAGGATCTCGCTCAGAGTGGTAGGCGCTGTGGTAGGCGCGGCGGCGTTTGAGCCTGGGCCAAGCAGCTCCGGGATGTGGCAGCCGGGAGCGTCGCCCGCCCCATGGAGATCGAAGGGGTGTAGCCCGGTCCATTCGTCTTGGTGAACGTACAGCAGGATCAGGAACCTCACGAGATGGATGTAGTTGCGGGGATGGGTCTGCCGGTCCACGGGGGGCAGACACAAGAAGCGTTTGTTGGATCTTGGAGTGAGCTGCGAGAGTACCATGGCCGGGTAGTCGAGAGCCGAGGTGTATCCTGCGGCACGATTATGGTAGGACTATGCTGCCAGTTTGCATTTCAATGTTTTGTTTCATTCTCAAGCTGAGGAAAGGCGAGAGAGAAAGCCCAACAAAATCGGGAGCTGTACTGACCTCGCGGAACTCCTGGCTGGCGGTGGCCCATTCCTCAATTAGGGCTCGCCGGTGACGCAGCCCATGTTCGGGGGTTGACGTGGGCTGGGATTCTTCCTGCAGAAAGTGATTTGAACCGTCAATGCAACTTCATCATCATAGGAGTGTGCAATTCCACAAACTCTACCCTACCCGTACGAATTAGCAACCACCCCTTGGCCTCTTCCGTGAGCTCTTCCGGGTTCAAATCTGTTAGATGCAGGCGGATCTCAGGAATGCCCACCGGCCAAGATGCTTGTGATGTCGGCTGTGACATTTCCTTTTGGTTTTTAGCACTGGTGAATGTATATATTTCATCTTTACACCCAGGAAGGAATATATACAAAGGTTCTCCTGTACATGCCGTTGCTCTTCAACGAAATAGAGATACCTTGAGCCGAGGACTAGGTACTTTGAGATGTTGACATAGTAGTCCTTATCCATAAGTTAGAATAAACAATTGCCATCTTTCTAGGACCGGGGTGAATATAAATCATGCCTGAGGCCATAACACCACGTGCCAAGTCCGACCGAAAAGGGAATAGTGTGGGGATCTGCAGCTTGACGCAATCACGCAATCGGCAAGTTAGCAGCTTAGCTCAAGACCATTGAATGTCCATCTAATTAATTAATTCTTGGGACATTCTTCCCAACTTCAACCTCAATTGACCCTCTCAACTCTAAATTTCACACTTCACAATGGCATCTATCCTTCCTCGTGCCGGCTTCCGAGCATTCACTGCCCTTCCCCGGGCTGCTGCCCTCCCCAGGGTCTCCTTCGCCTCCAAGCTTCCCCGCGCTCAGCCTCTGGCGCAGCCCATCGCTCGCCGTTTCGTCTCCAACATTCCCCAAGAGCAGCCCCGACTGCGTCTCGGATCCACTGGTACGGATGGCTTAATTCCATGAAGTTTCATAGCTGATAATTGGCATAGCTCCGAACTTCAAGGCCCAGACCACCCATGGCGAGATCGATTTCCACGAGTTCATCGGCGACAGCTGGGCTATCCTCTTCTCTCACCCCGCCGACTTCACCCCTGTCTGCACAACTGAGCTTGGCGCCTTTGCTAGATTGAAGGGTGAATTTGACCAGCGCGGTGTCAAGATGATCGGACTGGTGAGCTAGGCGTGAATACCATGCGATGCTGAAAAGTTATCAGACTGACAAATGCGACCTTTTGCCTACAGAGTGCCGACAAACTTGACTCCCACGGCGAATGGGTGAAAGACATCAACGAGATCGGCAACACCAACGTCCAATTCCCCATCATCGCCGATCCCGACCGTAAAGTCGCTTTCCTCTATGACATGATCGACCAGCGGGACCTTGACAATATTGCCGAGAAGGGCATTCCCTTCACCATCCGTGCCGTTTTCATCATCGACCCCGCCAAGAAGATCCGTCTGACCATGCTCTACCCGGCCTCGACTGGCAGAAACTCCGCCGAGGTGCTGCGTGTCATTGACGCTCTGCAGACCGCGGATAAGAAGGGCATTGCGACTCCCATCGATTGGACGGTTGGAGAGGACGTGATTGTGCCCCCTTCCGTGTCGACTGAGGATGCGAAGAAGAAGTTCGGCGAGGTCCGGGAGCTGAAGCCCTACCTGCGCTACACCAAGGCCTAAATGGATGGTCCTTGTATAAAAAGCTGTACGATTAAACAACATATAATAGAATGGAATCACTCGGCATCATGATTTGGTGTTACTCTCGTCGCGTCTTCAAAAATATACGCGAGATTGAATGAATCTGGCGAGTACGATGGCTCCTTTCTGTGCGCAGTGAGAGACAAGTAGGCATACATACGCCAACTAAGTACGAAGTAAAGGATCCGCGGTAGGAACCGAAGCCCAGAAAGAAAAGCTCATACTAGGTTCCCCATTTCCCCCACAACCCCGCAGGTACCAAGCTATAGGTTAGGAAAACCGGAACCGAAGTGGTCGAAGGCCAAGGTGGATGTTCCGCCGGAACCGTGATCAAGCCGTAGTACACATACTACACTACTTATTTCAATCAGGCCCTTCAGCGATTGAAAATCATGCAATTCAAATCTTGACTTTTCATTCTTCCAGATTCATTCTCGAATACAGTGCTTGGAGTTTAGGGAGCAAAATGACCACAGATACTCATCCCGTATGTCGATCAATCTTGATCTTCTTGCATCCACTGACCAATCTCGCAGATAGTCAATAAAGCTTCCGTGCTGCGCCCTGGCGGCTCCTTTTACTATGAAGATAGAGAGAGACCTTCATTAGAATCTGATCGACATGTGATTGTGCGAGTTGTCGCTACCGGTCTCTGTGGCTCCGATGTAAGCAGCCAACACACCCAGCCATCCTCAAACCCACAAGAACTAACAATGGAACAGGTCCACTACTGGCAACACGGTCGCATCGGTCGTTATGTTGTTGAAAACCCCATAATTCTCGGCCACGAGTCTTCAGGCATAGTCGTAGCCTGTGGCGTCGAAGCATCCGGCATTGAAGTTGGCGACCGCGTCGCGATTGAGCCCGGAGTCGCCTGCAATACCTGCAACCCATGTCGCAGTGGTCGGTATAACCTGTGCAAGGACATGCGTTTTGCCGCAACTCCCCCATATGATGGAACGCTGTGCACATACTACAGCGTGCCGGTTGAATGCTGCTACAAGTTGCCGGCACACATCTCGCTACGTGATGGCGCGCTGGTCGAACCGCTGGGGGTCGCAGTACACGGATGTCGACTGGCGGGCGATCTGCAGGATAAGTCGGTCATTGTGTTCGGTGCGGGGCCGGTCGGACTGCTTTGTTGCGCTGTTGCGAGCGCGTTCGGTGCGTCGACGGTGGTCGCCGTGGATATCGTGGCTGCTCGACTCGAGTCGGCAAGGAAGTACGGAGCTACACATACCTACCAGATGAGCACGGAGAAGTCCCCCGAGTTAAACGCCGATGCCCTCGCGGCTACAGCGGGACTAATCGATGGTGCTAATGTTGTCCTCGATGCTTCGGGTGCCGAGCCCTGTATCAACAGTGGTATTCATGCGCTGGCGCATGGTGGAACCTTCGTGCAAGTCGGACTTGGTAGACCGAACCTATCATTACCCGTTGGGCAAATCTGTGACAAAGAGGCTGTGTTCAAGGGTAGCTTCCGGTACGGACCGGGGGATTTCAAGCTGGCCATCGGCTTACTGAACTCGCGGCGAGTGCAGGTCGATGGGTTGGTCACTCATGAATTCTCTTTCTCGCAGGTCGAGGAGGCGTTCAAGCATGTCGCTGGTAAGGGGGGTATCAAGAGTGTGATTTACGGACCGGACATTGATGTCGAGGCTGCAAAGCAAACTTCAGTATAGCACCTATCCGTTGGCTTGGATGATATACAGTGGAGATAGGATCTATAGAGCTGTACATTACAGAATATAAAATCAAAAGAATTCCTCATGCCTTAACCGCCCATCCCATCCCATGTCATATCCCATAACCAATACATCCCACTTTCACCATTGCCTAGATAAGGGTCTTCCACCCCCATTGGGACAGCACCAGCACCATCCCAACCATAGTCCATCGGGACCTGTAAGGGGAATTGTGACTCGGTATTTTCATTGGGCGCCTGATGAGTCTGATGACTTTCACCGGGGTTAATATTGACGGAGCGGTCATTCCCAGGTGGTAGAACTAACCCAAATATCACATTAGCATCGGATTATCTAACTTTGCGAAAGAAGATTATAAATTACCATGGTGAACAGTAGTCAAACTCTCATTCAGTCGAACCGCCCGGCCAGGATCAGGCCGGATATGATTGCCCACCATTGGATCGGAGAGACCTATTGTTCCATCTAAGGGTAGTCGCAACGTATCCTCGACTGACATGCGGCCAAGGCTAGTCGGATCCTGCGTGACATGATGTCCCAGTCTCTGGGGGTATGCGGTGATGGGCCCGAATATGACCTCCGACTCGCGACGGAGGAGCATTGTTACCACGTTCTTTAGAACGGTGGTGCTCTGTTTTGACAATGCTGATCGGGTCCCGATTAGGTCCTGGAGACGGAGGATGCGTGTGATGGTCCGTTTGACGACCTGCGCGGTATCGGACAGGGGTTCGGAGAGGGCCATCACGACCAGCACGATGGCAGCGTTGAAGAGGTTGATTGCGAGGAAGGCGACGAGGTGGCTGTCCGTTGCTAGTTGGGCTAACACGGGCATTTCTGTTACGCGGGCTGTTCGCACGGCTGCATTCATCCATAGATCTGAACTGGCTGCGGCTTGTGCGGTAGGGAATGGGGCTTCGAAAGATAGGCCTGGGGTGGAGTGGCCCGAGGATGCAGCAGCTGGATGGGATGCGGGTGAACCGCCGTCGCTGCTGCCGTGCGGTGGTCGTGTTGTTGAGGTGAGATGGTCGACTTGTCGAGCGAGTAGAGGTCGATGGAGGACGATGAGGACGTTGTCGTATGTGAGTTGCAATGATAATGACTGTAACGCGTGTGCCCTCGACCCTGGTTCTCCGTCTGGATGGTAGTCTCGCTCGAGATCTAATGCTAAATGAGCTGGGAGACAGACTCGCCATCGTTGCAGCTCTTGGGTGGCATGCTTGACTAGAGAAGCATATGTATTTCCGGCTAGCTGTTGGGAGGAACGAAAGGTACGTGAACCGAATACCGCTTCTAGCGCCGGTGATGCGATGAGATAGAGACGGTTTAACTCTCGCTGGTACGCGGAATAGCATATCATGTTATTGTCGCCGGATCCCGGGGTGGTGAAGGATGGGTTCTCTAACATGTCGGCGGGCATGCTGAGATTGCAGTCTTTGTCGTTGATGCCCAAGGGCCGACCGTAGGTGATGGACGCAAACCGGTCCCATGTGTAGATCGTCCACCATACTCGCTTTCTTTCTTCGATATCTCCGAATTCGCCCTGGACGGGTTCCCGGTGCATGCCCAGCGCTTGAGACATTTTGATTGTTGCGCCTAATAGCGCGAAGGAGAGATTTGGTCGACCATGGTAGACATGGTGGGATCCGAGGAGGATGCAGGTCTGAACGGCTGTCACTGAAGGCTGGTCCATCAATTCGACCAGGTTCGCCTCGACGATCTTTATGAGATCGGCACTCCATTGTCGCCAATGATCCCTGGTGTCCTCGGCGTCGCGATTCCGTTGTGACCGATACCATGCTGCCATTCCGAGCATGACCGCTAGCAGCAAGAGAAACGGCTTCTGTGATGGATAGGCAGAGCCATCTTCGATCGAGCGCAGCCTTCTGCGAAACTTGGGTTCATACACTACCAGTGAGAACCAATGGATCGCATCGAAATACTCCTCCAACAGCTCATACATCAACTCCCCAACGGGTAACGGCTGGCCCAAGATCGAGGATATGGGAAGCCGTTGGCCAGCTACGGCCGATTGCGCGACGGGCGCACTGGTACTTGCTCGGTACCCTGGAATAGCAAACGTCGTTCGTTCGTCGATATGTTGACTTCCCAGTTCACAAATCTTCCGTGCCAGTCCCATGGCCGACTCGGCCTCGCCGCAGTCGATGGCTGAGCGGGCGCTGTGCTCATCCGCCGGAAGGAAGTCAGCACCAGGCGCATTAGCGTCCGGCACTTCCACCTCATGGCGAGGACTGTCGTTACGATCCGGCGGCTGTTCGGCCTGGTCCACGCGTGGGGGTTTCGACTGACGCCGAGAATTCCTCAACGTACGTCGGGATGCCACTCGGCTGCACCCGCAACGTTGCATCCATATCAGCCACTTTTGAAGCCGAGAAGGAATTCTACCAACTTACTTTCGAGCAGCATCCTTCTGCTGCGCCGGCAACGCCTGGCAATCCACATTGGCTCTTACACAAAGCGTGCACGGTCGAAAAGGGTCACACTAATAATAATAATATTCCCCCCAGTCGTCTTTAGCAGGACTCTCCAATGCCGAGGGAAAGTAAGGAAAATCGGCTTACCCGAGATTTATGTAGACGGCATCGTTCGCAGGCACTGCTCACCCGAGTCGGTAACGACGATCGTAGATGTCTTCTGCTTCTTGTTGACCGTGGACTGTCTGTTGATACTTGTCTTGTCCGATGATCAACTACATCATCAACTGAGGGGTGATCCGAGGCCATGGTGGGTTTAATTTCATGCAAGAGTCGGATGATTGTTTGGAGTTTGAGCGATTTTTGTCCCGATTTTTGGGTTGTTTTCCCCACACTTTTTCCAACCTTCACGGCCGAGACGCTGCACCGATGGGTCTCATTACGAGATGACGAGTTTTAAGACGATTTTTCTCGTATTTTGGGTTAATGGTAAATAATCTTATTTTTTATTTATTTATTTATTTATTTTTTTTTGTTTATCTTTCGTCTATCCCTCTTCTACTCCTAGTGAGCTAGCTTGGTTTGGGCTATCTTGCACATCTCCTTTCACTACCCTTGACCATGTCACCTTTTGTTGCAATAGGCCGACAGTTGTAGTAGCTCTATTGGGAAAGTTTTCATAATTACACTATCAGTTCAACCTATCCAAAAGCTATCTTGATAGGGTAAATGGACTGTCCGTGAATCAATCGCAGCTAAGCAAGAATAGTGGCATATTTGGGAGCATGCATGTTGCCCTAAGCAGTTTGCCTTTGCCTTTCTTCCCAAAGACTGCACTATACACACAAGCAATAAGAGAGAGATAGAGTTTTACAAATGTTGGCGCAACTGGAGATACGGCATGGAAAGGTTTCCTCACATCTAGTACTGGAAGCAACACACGCACATTCTATTGCAGTAAGTGGGATATTCTATAGCAGAAACGCTTGCAGAATCATAACAGAGTCAACCCATAAACACCCTTTTCTCTTTCCAAGACCAGTTCATCTTGGGTAGTACAAAATTTCCAGAGGCCCAGTAGATTTGCGCCACGAAACAATCAGTCATACAAGAACTCGTCTTACATTTAATACCTAATTTATTTCTTACACATCGTGACCCCAGTCTCCTCCGCCCACAGAAAGTTAGAAGGGTACAAAGTAGTGACACCCTTTTTTAGGGGACTGTACGTCGATGGGGCGTGTGTGAAGACCACCCGCTAGGGAAATATTTTTCATCATGACAGTGACGTTGATACATGGTAAAGCACTGTAAGGAAATAACTTAAAGAAATCGTGAACTCCATAAATTCGTTGCCTAATTCTCTCTAGCTAGGCTAAAAGCACAAGTGCATGGGAAAGCGTACAACATCACAAATATACACCACGAGAAAATCACTTAAACAGTCTCATGATACTCAATCTGTCCCTCATCATGACTTAGCATCTGCTTCGCCTTCGAGATAGAGGTACTCTGGTCTGTGAGAGCTTGCTCCATCTCAATATACCGTGCCGGTCGTGCAACACTGATAGCCTCCGGGTTCCCATTGACGAAGATACTATGATTCTCGCGGAAGAAGATGTCGATATCTTCCAGCGCGCGGTTGGCAGTCTCAGGATAGAAGAAGTAGACAATAGGGATGAAAGAAAAGTTGAATACGGTCCAGATAATATAGAACTTCCATCCCAAGTTCTGGATACCGACTGGTGTAACCTCGACGACCATGAAATTCATCGCCCAGTTTGTCGCTGTACCAAGCGCGGCTCCCTTCGTCCGCATGCTGAGGGAGTTTAGTTCGACTGGGAGGAGCCATCCGATACCCTGGTAACTGCATCCGAAGAACAGATAGTAGCAGAAGAAGAACGCGACTGCCCCAGCTGCTACTTGGGTCTGGTGTGGGTAGTCTGGTTTCTCGCTGAATCGGAGTAGAACAGTAATCATCAAGTAGCAGACTCCCTGGCCTAAGGCGCACCAGATCATGAGTTTCCGTCGACCCCAGCCGTCGATCTTGGGAATGGCTAGCGTGCTGGCAATTAGGTATGAGACGGAATTACAAGCGGCAAGGAGTCGTGATAGCGTTTCGGATAGTTTGACGGATTCCATTAATACCGTTGGCAGGTAGTATGATGTGACGTTGATACCAGCTAGCTGCTGCATGGCTTGTGCGCCCGCTCCCAGTATCAGACGGCGGATCACAGAAGTACCACCCTGGTCTCCGGTTTTACCACGCAGGAGGTCACTCCAGGAGATGGCGTGTTCACGTTCATATTGAACCGCGGTGATGATCTCGGTATAGGCTGCGATGACATGGGGATCATGGACATCTTTGTCCTCTAGGTCAGCGATGATCTGCTGTGCATTCTCTGTTTCATCGTGGCTAATCAGCCAACGAGGCGACTCTGGAAGCCATGGGACGGTGGCGTAAAGGACGAAAATGAAGACAAATTGGAAAGCAAGTGGGAACCGCCACGAAGCCGGGCCAGGCACAAAGGAGAATCCGAAGGTCATCCAGTTGGAGAGCGAATAGCCAGCGACGTTAAGGATCATTTCAATGATCACGAGCTTTCCTCTCCATTTAATCTGTGAAGTCTCGCCCTGCCACACGGGGGCCGTGGCCGTGTTAATACCGTTTCCAATACCGGCGACTACTCGGCCGACGATCATCTGAGGCACACCATAGGCTGCTGTCTGTAGAACAGCGCCAATGGACATGATTGTCGTTCCAAATAAGATGGTCCTTTTGCGGCCCCATTTTTCTCCGACGTACATGGCAGCTATGGCTCCGACTAGACAGCCAACATCGTAGATAGCCGTGACTGTTCCCACAAGG